GCTTCCTAGCTGGGTCTGCTGCACACTAGAGGTGGGAAGCACTGCAGCCTTTCGCTCTATTCTTAGGGTCCCTGACTCACATCACAGACACTCATTCATTCCACAAAGACTGACTGCCTCCTACGTGCTAGGCACTAACCCAGAGCAGGTGCACACAACAGGCACCTGAGAGAGAAACCAAGACAGAAAGGAGGCATTGACATCAACTTGTCACTGAGCACCGGACACCAGTAACCAAAGCAACACAGCAGCGGTGTTACCAGAGGTCACAAACGAACCGTGAATCCACCTGCTCGACTCCAGCACGAACCGCCTCGGCTCGTCCAGCTGTGCTCACTTTGGAACTCCAACCGGAGACACGGCTCCTGAACTGATGACACAGGCAGCCTGCAGCGACTGCACACTTTAATCTGGCTGGTCAGGCCTATTGTGGCGAATAACCCAGAAGGCTGACTGTGGCATAATAAGTCATTCAGCTCTTCCCGTAAGTGACAATGAAAGAAAAGGCTTTTGATTAACGGGCAGGCAAATGCCACTACTGGCTGAATATGTGACAGCAAACGGAGATTAACTGGATAACGAGGTGCAGCTTCACATCAGAGCCAGAACGCTTGTTTGTTACGGACAAGGGGATCAGGGCAAAACCCAGAGAGGGGACAGAGAGGTCACTCACAGTGCGCTGGGGACATTTATGTGATGACACGGCTGGAGTCCACCCAACACAGGGAGCCCTGTTATAAAGCGGGTGGGCTCAACCCCACACTTCCCGCTACGCACGGGGCTCGCAGCTGACCGGGAGGCGCCCATGGCAGCGGCACTCATTCCAGTCTGGGACCCAAACCTGGGGTCTCCTGATTGTGCCTTACTTTCCTGAAACAAAGGCTGTAGAAAGCCAGGCCCCAGGGTTTGGCTCCTGTTGCCTGACATCCCTTCTACGAGAATAGGGCCAACAGGAACCTCAACCTCCCGTTGTGGCCTGGGAACACTGAAGCTTCCCAGCTGCTGGGCAGGGCTCCTGGCCTCTGAGGCAGAAATCCTCTCTGCCCCTTGAGAGGACAGAGTAAAGAAAACCCTCTGACTACAAGAGCGCAGGGGTGCCGGTGGAGAGACAGGACATCGTCCAGGCTGGTCCGGCAGTCGGCAGAGAGGTCTTCCCTCAATTCCCACTTTCCCAGTGAGAATCACAGAACAGCAGAGCTTAAAAGGGATCCAAATAGCTGAGCGAGACTGCCGACAGATTAGGAAACAAGTGCAAGTGGTTAAGTGCTAAGCGCAAGGTCAGAGCTGTCAGCAGATGAGCCAAGGCCACGGTCCAGGACTCCAGACTGCATTACCGCATGGCCTGAGTGCAGTTTGGAGAAGGGAGTTCGAGTCAGAGGCTGTGCACCTCCTCCCCAGACCCTCGGCCTCTGCCTCCACTGGGCACAGAAACCGCAGACTTCAGAGGGTGGGGCGTGTGGGGGGAGAGACAGATGACAGACACCAGGAGGGACCTAAGGGCTCTGGCCTGAGTCCAAGGGCACACACCCGTGGACAGGCACTGGGACCCAGGGCGGGGGCGGCAGGACCACAGTGCCGGCACTACCTCTTGGGCAGTATGCCCTGACCTTTGCGACAGGTTCAATATTTCTAGGGTCGGGTTAAAGGGGAAGAAGGGACTTCAACTAAGGAGATTTGAAGAAGACAAAAGGAAGAAGTGAGCTCTGCTTGGATTTGCTATTTCTGGAACTTCCTGCCCCCAGATGGAAAAATCAGAACTGGAAGACAGGTGGTGAGATAGGGGGTGGGGATGGGGTAGTAAATGTGCCCATTCTGGAAAGCATCCAGGACTTGTCCCTAGGTCCCCTTGAAAAAAGGCACTCCTTGGGGCCGGCCTGGTGGTGTAGTGGTTAAGTTCGGCACACTCTGCTTTGGTGGCTCTGGTTCACGGGTTAGAATCCCAGGCACAGACCTACACTACTCATCAGCCATGCTGTGGTGGGGACCCACATATAAAGTGGAGGAAGACTGGCACAGATGTTAGCTCGGGGCTAATCTTCCTCAGGAAAAAAAAAAAAAAAAAAAGGCACTCCTTCCGGCCAGAAGGTGAGAGGAGAAACTTGGCCTACATTTCCTCACAGGAACAATTTCAGTAGCATCAGAAAAATTTCAATAGCATCAAGGCCATGAGATCTAGGAGGTACCTGCCATGTCTGGTGGTGGTTCTAGGTTTTTAGTCCTTAGTCATTACGTTCTTTCTATGGAAGAAAAGTCCAGTTGCAAATAAGGAGCTTAAAGTTTCAGAATGTAACTCATTGCTAACCTAGGGCCTGGCCATCCCAAGAGGGGTCTGGGTAATCACCTGCCTCAGAACTTACTACATTTTTCTTAAAGCTGCACAGTCCAAAATGGTAACCTCTAGCCATGTGTGGCTATTTAAACTTAATCAAAAACAAATGAAATGAGAAATTCAATCCCTCAGTTGCACTAGTCATATTTCAAGTGTTCAACAGCCACATGTGGCTAGTGGCTCCCAAACTGGACAGTGCAGACAGAGAACATTTCCATCACTGCAGAAAGTTCTAGTGAACAGTGCTGCTCAGAAGGTTACTCAGTGTGGCCAACACCTCTCTCCACACCCTACTGGGGAAAGCAGAGTGCTAGTTGGTCCTCAGTAAATGTTCTGAATTAAATTCAAATTGTTACGATTCTGACATGGACTAAAATAAAGAAGTAAACTGAGATATTTATATTATTGCTCAACCAAGAAGCTTGGCTGGTCACCTAGGATCTTCAATAGATCTGTGGACATTAAGTACATGACATCAAAGGGATGTAATAATTACAAGAAGACTATATGTGTACAAATAAACATACTCAAAAAGATGAAAGGTACAAAGAAAAACCTCCCTCCCAGACTTGACTAGCAGCCATCCAGTTCCCCTCCTCAGGGGCAACCAATATTTCAAGTGTCTTTCATATTTTTGAAATATTTTATACATTTTGCTAGGCATAATGAGGGTCCCCAAATATGTCCACATCTTAATCCCCAAGAACCATGAGTACGATAACTTACGTTGCAAAAGGGGCTTTGCAAAAGGGGCTTTGTGATTAAGCTCAGGAACCTGAGAGGGGGGATTATCTGGGTGGGCCCAGCGGAATCACAGGGGTTGTCAGAAGAGGGAGGCAGGAGGGTGAGTGAGAGAGGGAGATACGATGATGGAAGCAGAGGTCAAAGTGATGTAAGGCCAGAGTCAAGGAATACGGCAGCCTCTGGAAGCTGGGGAAGGCAAGGAAGCAGCTGCTCCCCTCCAGCCTGCGTCCAGAAGGAAGGCAGTCCTGCTGGCCCATTTTGGACTTCTGACCTCCAGAACTACAAGATGATAAGTTTGCGGCATTTTAAGCCACTGCATTTATGGTAATTCGTTACAGCAGCAATAGGAAACTAACACACGCATATATATATATATGGATGTACATATATATATAGATAAGTAAATATGTACAAATACTTGCCCTCAAAGCACAGTCATTCTTATCATAGCTGACTATGCTCTAAGGAAAGTGCCTCGCCGCATACTCTCAGTCCTGAAAGATGATGAGAAATACAAGAGGATTTTGTAGACAGAATTCAAACTCCACCCGTCCAATGTTTGGATGACTATTTAAGCAAGCAGAAAACAATGAAGGTTACATGAGAGATTTATTTTGTAACTATTACTGTCTGAATCTTAAAGGCAGCAAAGGGTGGTGGAAGGAACTGTCCCAGAGGTCAAGAGACCTGGGCCCTGCCTTGCTGTGTGACTTTGAACATGTCTCAGGGCCTCTGTCTATTCAAATGTGACACAATGGCAGGATGGGGGGCAGGGAAGGTGACGACAGGAAACTAGATACGTGCTAGGTTCTCTTATTTCTAATCTTTGAGCATGCTAATCAATGATGTATGTTTGGTCTGAATATAATTTTTGCTATGGGCCTCCCAACCCCCACCAAAAAGTTTGCTAAATAGTATAAAACTGGGAAATGTTTATGTGCTTAGGAGAAGATGCCAATTAACTGTAGGCACGATTTCAGTAGAAGCCCATTACCCTCAAGGTGCTCATTATAAACCATTCTTTGTATCACCCTATTGATACATAGAACATCTTTGAAATACTCAAGAAACTGGTAACATTGGTTGTGTCTGACTGGGAGAATCTGAGTGACTGAGGGACTCCTGGTCAAAGGAAGATTTTGTGAAATTACTTTTCCTACCTTTCGGATTCTGAATCTTGCAAATATACCATCTACTCAAAAACTTCAAGTATTTTAAAAGAGTAGGCTCTTTTGGTTCACGGCTTTGCAGTGTCAAAAAAACAACTACAATTCCTCTATCAGATACCTGCTAATTATGTTCATTAAGTACTCAGTCAGGGGCCGGCCCTGTGGCCAAGTGGTTCAGTTTGCATGTTCCACTTTGCTGGCCCAGGGTTTCGCTGGTTCAGATCCTGGGAGGGGACATGGCACCACTCATCAGGTCATGCTGAGGCGGCGTCCCACATGCCACAACTAGAAGGACTCACAACTAGAATGTACAACTATGTACTGGGGGGATTTGGGGAGAAAAAGCAATTAAAAACGAAAAAGTACTCAGCCAAAGCTTGGAAGAATTTCAATGTCCTCCTCGTCTAATTTAACAATCTTTACCAACCACACGATACATAAGTAGATCTGCTCTGTTATCCTTTCCAATTTCCCAGGGTAGACAAAGACCTCTCACAGCATAAAGAAGCAGGATGCACGACAAGACAGCTGACCTCGTCGTGGCATCCAATGTCACATATCAACTCCCACAGTCCCCGAGCCCTTCACTGTCAGAAATGTCTCCCAGGCCCAAACAACCCTGGTCAGGAGAGAAGAGAATCAAAGACCAAAGGAACATTTTCTCACTCACCCTCATTCGAGGACTCTTCAAGGGCATCTTTACTTCTGTCATGTTCTCTTTTAGCCATTCTACCAGTTATCTGCCAAATTTAATAGGTACATATACACAAGTCTCCTCTCTTCTCTGTTGTGTAAACAACAATTTCCAGGTAGAGAGAAAGAGAATCACAATATTTTGAATACAAAAGAGCGAAGGTAAGCACACGGACAGCCTGGAGCGGCTATCAGGCCAAGCGCTACCGTGCGGTGGACTTCTGGAGGGCAGGGGCCTCTGATGATGGGGCTCCAACCCCAGGAAGCACTATGTAGAGCTATGGGCCAAACTGTTTGATGGTAGTTCATTTCTTTCCTCCTAGAAAAAACATAAGCATCCCTGTGGGATGTGGGAAGAACCCTATAAAGAAGCACAGACGTCACAATAAGGCTGAGCCGCTGTCTACCCAGTATACTCCAAGACTTAGAAGTCCAAGAAAAGGCATGCAAACTTGGAACCAAAACATTTGGGAAAGAGAAGCAGGCCATCTCCTATCATAAGGTCCTCGGCTGTAAGAGATTTTAAAAACTAAATGCACCCAAAGCAGCCAGTAGTTCCTAAAAACATTCCTTTTCAAAACAGAAATGGAAAGATGAAATAGGCCAGCAAGGGGCAGCCGCCAGCAGAAGAAAGTCCATCTCGGGGGACTCTTTGTGAGCGGCTTAGCACAGATCATGTGGTGTAATGCTGCCCTGCTCGAACCCCTTTCCCAGCCCACTGTGAAATGACAAGGACAAGACAACTTAAGCTGAAGTCCCAGGTCAGCTTCAAGCACTAAGAATGCAGCTGAGTGGTGCCGAGGGAAAAGCAGAGGAGTCAGGAGGCGTGAGTTCTGGTCGCACTTCTGCAACTGGAGCACAGCCCTTGACCTCTTTGAGCCAGTTTTCTCATCTATAAAACGAGAATCATTTTATCTATGACCTCATGCAACACTCTAGAGTGTGTAAGGTTCTCCATCCTATAATTGCACATAATCTCTCGATAGAATCCTAAATGTCAGCACCAGAATGTGAGTTTCCTCCTGGGTTGTTCTTCCAGAGATGGAATGTCAGGGCGGTTGAGACCATCCATGTAAGAACCCAAATAAACAGGAGGTTGCTGAGGAGCCTTTTGACCCCAGTAGCCCTGAAAGGCCTTTTGACACCCAAAAGAGATGACCAGACTGTAAGCAGCAGTCCCTTCCTCTTGTGCAAAGCACAAGAGAACCAAGTTCACCACGAGACAGACACGAGTAATCAGAAATACCAGCCACCTGTCTCCACCAAAATCTCCACCAATCCTCACCCACATCCTGCCCACTGACCGCTCTGACACAGCATTTATTCGTTGTTGATGTTATTACACTAGTCTGGGAACAGGAGACCTGGGGACCTGACTTCTAGTCCGGTTCTGTTGGCGTTTAGATTCCACAGGGTTTGTTCATCTGGAAACCTGCTTACCTCCAGAGCAGCCTCACCCTTGGACCACAGAAGCTCCAGAAGCAGTTCTACTGTAGACTCACAAGTACATCCCAACCTCTGCGCAGAGACTGCCTTTGTGGTGCCTTCTTTTCAGGACCATTACCAAAGTATGAGCAGCCCGGCTGTAGGTCTCAGCTCTGCTGCCATCTAACCAAGTGTCTTTGGGAAAATCCTATCACCTCTCTGGGCCTGTCTCTTCATCTGTAAACCAAGGGGGATGAACTAGATGGTAGAGGCTCTTTTTCAGATGTAACAGTCTGTGTCTATGATTCTCACGGAGATAGAACCAAAACACAGCACTTAAACTTGGCCGTGTAAGGCCGCATGCATACGGGCCGAACCTACCTCTGGAGAGTTCCCACTGACTAAGCTTGAGGCGTAGGTCACTGAGATTACAAGAGACACTCTAGCAATGTAATGGGCTACACGTACCTTTCCTGCATCCACCAGTTGTGCGATGTCATCTAGATATGGACCACTGGCCATAAAAAAGGCCCAGCGATAATGGACTCCTTGCCAGAAATGCTAAAAAGAAAACACAACATGTCAAATACAGGAAGGGATAAAATCTAACTAAATGCAAGGTTAGGGAAAAGTGTTTTCAGGATGACTAAGACAGACAAACTAATTTCCCATTTCATGTGACACCATGAGTTGTATGCCCAGCCCCTTAGCACAGTGACTGACAGTAGATACTCCATAAATGTTTAATAAATAAACAAATGAACTCAGGCTTCTTCACCAAGTTGTGCCTGACAAGCAAGTAAGCACAGGAAAGCTCTCCTTAAAATGATCGTCTAAATTGTCTGACACACTCAAATTTCTTCTCTGGGAGAAATTAGGGGCTGAGCCTCTAGCCTTTCTCTACCAAGGTTTGCATAAAGCTCAGAGGCACCAGAAAAAAGCTTTTTATCTAATTCAAGAATGCCTTAGGAGCAACAAGGCACCAATATACAATCTTAGACAAAGAAACCCAATCACGAGTGTTTTTCTGGCTCTGAGAGGAAGAAGACAGCTTTACAGGCAAAACAAAGTGTAAAGTTCCTTATGTGTCATGGCTGGGTCTTCCTTGACAGTTACAGCAAGCTCCAAGCCACCTAATCTATAATGGGACAAAGCATCCCCAGATAAAGATAAGCAAAAATCCTACACCAAGAGGGTTCATGACCACTCTCCTGCCCTACCCACTCGTAATTGTTATTCTTTATGTCAGATGTAGAGTAGCCCATTATCAAAATAACAAGTGAGCTGAGGGTCTCCATGACACCTCAATGACCTGCCCCACTAAACTTCGTCAGATGGCAGCTGTCCAGAGGTAGCACGGGGTAGGCCAGGACCACCCCTGCTCTTGCTCACGACTGCTGGGTGAGCTCAGACATCTTTCCAGCAAGCTCACCCTCTGTCTCACGATCCCTCAGCATGATGACAAGCTACCACCGTGGCATGAGGGGGGCAAGTGCAATGCACGTCCCTGCCACTCCAGCTCAGCCCAGGCACTTAACAGCTGTGTTATGTAGGTGAAGCTACCTCTTTCAGCCGTTTCCTGGCCTGCAGAATAGTGATACCATCAGCTAGCACCACAGGGTTGTTGGAAGGATTACATGAGAATGGATGTAAAGTATCTGATACACAGAGAGTTTTTAATAAATATTCATCTAGTGCTGAAAGTAAAGCTTAGTGAGGAAAGACTGGGGCAATACTGAGTCAGAGTTTAAGACTGGAGACAGAAAGGCAAAACCAGGCTGTTGTCTAGACAGGGCTTTGATACGGGTGTGCCAGGAATGGCTTACTGATTTGGCTGAGTGACCCTACAGTTTACTGTCCAACCTGGAACAACCGTGAGAGTTAAGAGTCACCATTAACAACTATCGCGGGACCACAGATGCAAACAGAGCCAAGCTTACCCTAGAATAGGCATGACAAGACACTGATTCCCTCAGCGCTCCGGGCAGCGAGGCAGAGCCTGGGCTGGGAGAAGTCTCCAGGTAGTTTGCTCTTGGCCCAGAGCAGCCTCAATATGCTACTCAAATAGTATCCTTTTCTATGTGTGTCACAGCATGAAAGAGGTTGGGAGACGCTGGTATAGGCAACTAACTTCAGAAAGAAAAGGAAAGAAAAACACACTGTTTGAAGGCTTAGGTAGCAAGATTCCAGAAGCACTGAGATGTCCCAAGCTTACAGGGGGCCCAGTTAATTAGAATCACAGAAGATCTGTTCATGTACTTCTCCCTAAGTTCTGGCCTTGTGGACTACAATTAAAACATTCTGGTAACTGTTCATGGTTTTAAAGAAGCAACAGCAATGGTCATAACTGCCATGTCTATAATTCTTTACAGCAGGTTGCCTTGGAAAGCGAAACTTTTGGTCTGCAACAGCAGAATTTTTACATTCTGCTCGAAGGGGTCTGTGCATTTCTTGCAGGCCATTACAGGAGAGTGAACTGGAGCAGGCAGGAGAGTCTGGAGCATTACAATGAGGCCTAACTGTGCACATTCTCAGAAAGACATCAGAGACGACTTAAAAGGTTTTCACATGAGATTACCACTATCATCTTTCAAGTAGGAGGAAAGGGAAAATGAAGAGCGCTATGCCAGTCTCACTCTCAGAGGACAGCGCTGAAGGTGAACTTGTTAGAGGTCTCATTGGAGTACGAACTGTGAAATCTTACAGAAAACTTAAACTTATATTTTAAAGCACTTGGGAAGCCTGGGTTTTGTGAAAAGGGAAGAAGAGACAAAAGACAGCTAAGATTTCTTTCTCTGCCACAAAGCGCCCTGTGGACACTGTTTCTGGCTGCCATCTGAATCGAGTGAAGATAAAGAAGCCTGGAGCACAGGGCCTGGTTTGTTCACCTCTGTTACCCACACACAGCTCCCAAGAATTCAGCAGTGACCTCCTCTGTCACAGCTCTTCTTCACTGCCTCCAAGTATTTAGTTAATACACAGAATTCGAGAAGCCAAATTCCTAAATTTCACCCAGAAAAAGGTCCCAAATTAACTTCTAGAATAAAGAAGAAGCTGAAGATAAGTATCAAGCCAGTCGTCTCACAAATACGGGTCAGTGTTGACAGGCTCGACACAGTGACTCACAACCTTTTCACCACTGAGGGACCTTCTACTGCCTTTTCCCTGAGTCTGAAGTATTTTGTCTAATTAAAAAATTGAATTTATCTTTATTTTTTCCATTTCAACACCAATTCAGATTTTAAACCAATGATGTATAACTACCAACAGTGTACACCATGACACCATAGGAGCTCCACCTCACTGCGACGACAAGAAGCTCTCATGGTCAGTGGAGAGCAGACTCTTAGGCTCTGCTGTCAGTCCTGTAATGCGGCCTGATCTGCACCAGCTCCGCTGGGTGCTCAGCTGGGTGACATACCTCCTTATGGCCCTGGTAATAGTGGCCCCATTAACTGAGTCAGGCTGACTAACAAGTCTCAGAAATTCCCAGAATGCCATCAATAGCTAGAGTTTCTGACTCACATGGCATACGCAGCGTTAGCACAAGTTGGTACAATTCCAGAAAAGGCATGATGGTTCTATTAGTCCTTGTAGCCTCACTGAAGAAAGAATACAATTGCCCTTAGGTTTCTGAAACTCAAAAAATGCCCATGGGCTTCTAAAGGTCTGAAAGTCCTGGTCTGGGAATTGCTGGCACATCCCCATGCTACTACTATGAACAGAGCCAGCTGTACACTGTCTTAATAAAGTTTCTGCCTTCCCATACAGGACACCGTGTGTGTTAAGACTGGTGAAACAGGGAGAGCACCAGCAGGTAGAGGCAAGAAGGAAGCAGAGGGGCTATCAGATGGTAATAATAAAGGCTAACATTTAATAAGAGCTTTTCATGTACTAGGCATTGTGCCAAGTTCTTCACACGGATTATCTCATTTAATCCTTACGACAGGCAGTAGGGTAGATGTACTATTAGCCTCATTTTACAGGTAAAGACATTGGGGCTTAGAGACATTAAGTAACTTACATGGTGTCACCTAGTGACTTAGTGGAGGCCAGAATTTTAACCCAGTCACTGTGTGACTCCAGAGCCCATGCTTGCAGCCTCTGTGCTATGTTGCCTTCAAAAGAAAAGAAACTGGGTAGGTGGAAACCAATTTCCAGAAGCATGAGGCGCCTGCTCGCTCTCACCAACCAAGACTCTCCTCCCTACCTTTAATGTCTTAGAGCCCACGGTGACGCCTGTCTGCAACATGCCATCTGCTATGCCCAATCGGTCCATGTTCAGGAGGAAAGGAGTCACCAAAGTCACGTATGTGGCTCCTGACCATTTCTTGAGAAAACTCAGAGCCCACGTTTCGGTGGATCCGCCAACATTATCAAGGATAAAATCAAACCTGGAGAGAAAGAATCAAATCAAAACATCCTTGTTCATCTTCATGCAGGGCTCCAATCCCGTCACTCCCATGGCCAGCTGGCTGTAGGGTTTATTCCAGAGCTCATAAACCGCGCTGCCCCAAGTCGCCCAGCAGAGGGGTGTTGCTTTGACAAAGGAGAGAAGGGCATAGCGATTCACTGGATCTCCGGCTTTTCTCCGAGGTAAGTCAAAAGGAACTACTTTTCCTGTCATTAATCTTACTTTCTAAAACTTTAGGAATGACTTAAACAAGTGCTTCTCAACTGAGGGTGATTTTGGCCCCCAGGGGATATATTAGGCAATGTCCAGAGACATTTTAGTTGTCTCAGTTGGGGGAGGTGGTAGGAAGGAACGACAGGCATCTAGAGGCCAGAGATGATGATAAACATCCTACAATACACAGAACCGCCCCCCACAATAAAAAATTATGCAGCCCAAAATGTCCATAGTTGAGAAAGTAAGGTTGCCAAGGTTGAGAAACCCTGACTCAAGCTTTACAGAAAACTGCGAAGCCATCCACCCAATGTAAGTCAAAGTATTCTTTAGTGCACACGAATATTTGAAAATATGTAAGGCTTTCACCCACAAAAAGATTTGTTTGTATTCCCTCCACAGTCAGAGCTGCTTGTAGAAGCACCCTCTTTGCCTCATGAAATTTCCTATTTTTTGGTTTCAGGCACAGCATCGGGACAACGTACAAAGAAATCAACAGCCTGCTTTCAGTGTTCAATGCCGCTCTAACACGCCAAAAACCCAGTCATAATGGGATCACGGGAGGTGACAGACATTCAGTTCCTTCAATCTAATCCAAAACTGCTAGAAGCACTACATTCTACATAAAGTGGATAGAATACAATGAAGCTTTTAAAGACTTTTGAAAACAAAGATCTATTTAGAGAACGCATGCTAATAAATTAAGCAAATTAACAGATGAATTCCTTTTTGGTAAATCCTGTTTCCCTTCTAAATTCATCTGGATGAAGTCAAAGATCCAAACTTCTAAAACCAGCTTTGGGCAACTTTGTGGATCTTGAGTCTTTCGTGGGACTAAACTAAGGAAGAGCAAATAAGGACGTGAAGTGCAGGCAAATGATCTTACAAGATGACAATTCTTCTCAATAGAAAAACCCAGAAAATTCTGTTTATGAGTTTAAGTTTCTACTTTTAAGATTCGACTTCATTCCCAAATTTTGAATAAACAAATATAATGATACCTAATTTAAGTCAAACTTAAGGACAGCCTGGGATTAGAGAACAGGCGCTGCCTGAAAAGGAAGTCTGGAGACCAGGCGCAGATCCAGGTCTCCCACTAATGACTAAGGGCCATGACCCTGAGATGTAAAAACTCAGAAATCCTCTGCCCCATTTTTCTCAGCTATAACATGATAGAGTTGAACCCAAAGATTTCAAAGCCCTTCCCTGCTGTAAAATTCTAAGATTCAAATCTAAAAAGCTACTACTATTTGGAAGAAGGAACAGATTTATTCTAGGTGGATTCAGAGGCCAAACTCCAGGCAGAAGTTACAAACATCAATTTTAACTAAAGCTGTCAAAGAAAAAGGTAATGGCTTGCATCTGTAAGCGGGGGAGGTCTCCCTACTGGAAAAGGGCAGGCAAAGGAGAAGGCCAGTCGCCAGAGATGCTGAGCCGCAGACTGCAGCGCAGACGTGGCAGGCGAGACAGTGTGCTCCAGCCTTCCATCTATCAGGTTCTTTGTTCTCGGGTGACAAATTCCAGACACGTAGAGAACTTAAGGTAGATAGAGGGGAATGGGCTGGCCTTGGCCTCAGCCTCACTCTGCTACTCCTAGAAGCAGTAGAAGAGATGAGATCAATCGAAACTAACATTGTCTGGAAGCCAGAGAGCAACTGAAACGACCACTGCCTGGAAGCCAGAGATCACCCCAAACTACCACTATCTAGAAGCCAGATCTTGGAGGCCCAGAGAGGCCCACATCCTGACACGCAGGCAGCTGACAAGATCTCTGCAAGGGACAGTGTCATCTCTCAAATATGCGAAGCGTGTTCCTGCCACAGGGGCTTTATATTTGCTGTTATCTCCCTCAGAACAGTGCTCTTCTCCTAGATTCCCTCAATAATTCATTGAACAAGTATTTATTGAGCACCTACTACATGTACTATACCGTTCCAAGTAGGAGACAGCCAGAATCAAGACCAAAAAGACCCCTCCCATCCTGCCCTCGGAAGCCTCTAGGCATTCTTACACGGCCCCACCCGAAACAGCCTCCTCCCAATCTTTTGTTGTTCCCTTTCCCTGCATCAGTGTTCTTGAGAGCACTGACCACCAAAACCTCCTGAACAGAACACAAGCCCCAGGAAAGGGGGAATGTGTCTCGTTCACCACTGTGTCTATGTCCTCTGTTTAGAACACCGCCCAGCAGTCCATACGCCATATAGTTGAAGGAATACCGAGTTGGCCGGCTGCTTCTGGCTGCACAGCCATGCTCCTGTGGAGAAGTGGGGGTGCTGGTTGAGAAAGGCTAGGCAGTGTCAGACAGGGGGTCCCTTTTCTTTTCTTCTTTTTTTTTTTAACCCCTGAAAACATATTTCTACTCAAAGTGGGCAAGAATAATTAGCTTCTGCAAACTAATTTAAAAAAGGAAAAAATCTTTGAAAAAGAAGTAGAACAGCTTTCTAAATACTCCTCAGTTGTGCTCTCCACTTCAGCCGTGCGTTGGCTAGAGGAAGACCAGATTAGTCAGCCCCTCTCTACGTCTGCCCAAGCACAGGTGGGATCGACAGCGCCCAAGAGGATTCCTGAGTCCGCTCTTGTTTGGGACATTAGGCCAAATCGCAGCCTGGCACTCAGAGGCACTGAGAACATCCACAGGCGCCCATGACCAATATTTATACTGCCTTTGTTTCTCTGAAGCTCCTTATTAAGCCCAAACACTGAAAACATGCTAAGTACTAATTGTGTATTTTCATGCATGGCTCTATGTCCTTCCTGTGGTGAGAGATGCCACTGAAGAGAATGCACTTCCAATTTTGCCTTCAGACCTCTTACAAAGCAGCAATAAAAGTAAGTTAACTTAAAAACTAACCATGTAAGCAAAATACTTTCCTCAGTAGATATTTCATTGTATGACTATGCTGTATTAATATCTGGAACTAAAACAGAAACCAACTTAAATGACTTCTAATGATAATGCGTGTTTTCATAGATTCTTCTCTAAGATTCCAACAAGGAAGGCCACCAAACCATCTCAGGCTTGTACTATCAACTTCCCAGTAAGAACACTGTTTGAATACACACGGTTTTAAAGATTTCAACTGCTCTTCCATATTTCCAGATTTGTAATCAAGTACATCATCCGCCCCAAGCTTCCTCACAAGTTCACTGGCATCCCGAGAGCAAACGGCTGTCACGTGGGCATCCCAAGCTTTCATTACCTGCCAAAGAAAAAGGGGGAGAGTAGAAAAAGTGATTGCATTAAAAAAAAAACAGTTGGCGCTCTGTGTACATATATCAGCCTAATCTCTAGGAACTCTAAGTGCCTCATCTTAGCAAGAACTACAGGAAGCCATCTGTCAGAGACTAGAAAAAACGATTAAACCTTTGTTTACTAAGAAAATCCCAAGAAATGATCTCATTTTCCCTGGAGGAGACACCTAGTTGCCTTGCTGTCATGAAGTTATAACCAATACACTCTGTGAAGGGCTCAGGGCCTCACCAGTATCAGAAAAGACAGGAGTAAATAGCCTCAAGTTTAGTGTTTTCAATGATGACAAAGGTAAATAGCCAAACAAAAAAAGGAAAAAAAAAATCATGTCCTCGGAAAACGACTATTTTAAATGTGTCCAGGGGCCAGCCCAGGGCCTAATGGTTAAGTTCAGCGTGCTCCACTTCAGTGGCCCAGGTTCAGTTCCCAGGCACAGGCCTGCACCACTCATTGGCAGCCATGCTGTGCCAGCAACGCACATACAAAATAAAAGAAGATTGGCACAGATGTTAGCTCAGGGCAAATCTTCCTCAGCAAAAGAAAAACACAAGAGTATTAAATGTGTCCAGAACATACAAACGCAAGATCTTCATTTGCATCTCCAATAAGTATTAATACAGTCTTGAGTTAGACAGCTGTACCAAAGCAACTGGCTAACAGGTGCTAGGCAATAAATGAAAAGATGTTCTTTAAAAAGGTGAGGAAGAAAATATGGCCATTTTATTTTCAAAATATGGATCAGGTCCTCTCCTTTGGCATAAAAAGACCTAAATAAGTGGTTTTTGGGATTTAAAATGCAGGTATCTTATATCTTAAAATAGTGAGGAATAACTAGACAAATAAAAAGAAGAAAATTCTGTTATTCAGGATTAAGTATCCAGAAATCATCCTGCTCCTAAATTGCTGTAACTCTTTTCTATAATGACAATTTCACAGAATTAAAAGGGGGTCATAATCAGCATAATTTGAGAATAGCTACTTGAAGTTCACCAAGAAATTTTCGTATGGATACTTAGAGATCATAACAGATGAGCAGTGGATGTTAGATCATGGTGAACCTTTCTCAGCAAAAAAAAAAAAGTAATATTAACCAAAGGTTTATATGCCCTGGAAATCTGAGAGGAATTAAAACATTTAGGAGCGACGTCATACACATTTTATTATGTTTATGGGCTGCAGAAACATTTGATATGACAACATGTTGCCTTCAACAGCAAGTCTCAAACTAAATTCAAATATGTGAAGAATATAATCCAAGATGAATATCCAGTATCTATATAAAAAAGACACTGTCAAGAAAAAAGGAAATGGCGTTCTAAGCACCTACGTTAAAATGTGTTTTCTTTAAACAGTATTAAATCCTCAGGAAGGCTTTGTTACATGTTGAAACAGTTTAATGAATTTTTCCCCAAATTTCTAGTTTTTCCTCTCCTACTTCAAACCGTCTAGCATCTTTGAACACTACTAAAAGGTTTTAAAAACAGCTTTAGAAAAAAAATTATGTAAAATAAAACACAAGTATAGGAAACGCCTATAAGGCAGACACCACTCACTCAAACACAAGGCTGGAAGCCCTTCCCACAGCTCTTCCGTCTGCTCTGTCCCAGCACGCCCACCCTCCCTAGTCATTATCTCGACATTTACAGTAATCGCCTCCTTGCATCATAAAACATTGTCTTGTCACCCATATATGCACTCCCTAGACACTGCGGTTTAGGCTTGTGCATTTTTAAAGCAGGTCGCTTAAGTCTCCTTCTAAACTACTATCGACTCCTCTTCTAACCCTTCGCTTTCTGACTATCTGCGTGTGAAAGAATCCAGGCCACCGGACCCGCAGTTGCCCATCTGGAATTTCTGACTGCACACTCAGGGGGCAGCGCCACATTTGCTCTGTGCTCTGGATTTCCTGTTTCAATCCCTTTAGCAAGACTATGGACAGTGTCTGGCAAAATCCTAGGAGGTACATCATGTCTGGCGGTTGCTCTTTTTATTATCTTAACAGCCGTCTATTCCAAAATGGTAATATTCCATCTCTTCTTTTTTCATTTAGCAGTTGGAACACTTTTATAAAGAAACACCTCCCTCATACACTATTTTGTTTACTCAGGTGTATAGTTTATATAAGGAAGGCAAGACAAACAATTGTTTCCCTTTATTTATCACTTTATAAAATAATAAACTGGTTCCCGATCATTTCCAAAAGTGATCACTTTTTAAAAAAAAACACCATCACAAAATCATGGATTTAAACATATTTGAAAGGTTTCAATCCACTGTAATTATTGTTACTATCACTGAAGCTCCAATTGTCACATCCTTGGGAGTTTCTTCAAGCAGGCCCCTGAGTCTTTTTGGCATGACTCAACCAGCCTTTGATAGTTTCCCTGCCATCTAATATATTCCAGGCTCATTCTCATATATTTTGTGCCCTATTTCTCCAAGAGGCCCTGTGTTCTTTTAGTGGGCAATCATTTTACAAGAGATAGCTTTACATATACACGTACCTAAAATATCTCTTAAGTTCATATTCATACTTCCAATTCAAATTCAAGACCACAAAGCTTTTACTTTTTTCTGTTACATTTGTATCTCCTTTCTTCCACACCTGGGATCCCAGTTGTCAAAGACACAGGAGATGACAGAATTAAAATATGCCATAAATACCCATTTTTGCTCTGAATAAGAATACTAATATCACTACCAATATAATTAATGAAAGCATTAAAGTAATTTTAACATATACTTTCCCTATTTTCCCCCTTTCTAAGAAAAGTTGTACTATATTTACCTTGTCAGAGCATATGGCTGCTACACACTACATTCTTTCTAAGCCCTCATTTAGCTTTAGTTTTACAGATAACTTCACATTTAACATTTACCACCAGTCCTTAATTCGATGTCTCTCTAGTCATTTTAGTCGTCAGAAGCTCATTCTCTGGTAGATTTCTCAGAAAGAGATCCAAAGAACATATTCTCCAAGTTTGTGCATGTTATTAACAGCTCATGTGTCCTTTTTACACGTGAAGGCCAGTTTTGCTATATATAAAATTCTTAGCATACTCTTTCTCAAGCGTCTTAAACATGTTACTCCATTTTTCCCCCTGGCAATAAAGCTGTCAAAAAGTCCGATGATAATCTAATTTTACTTCTAAGTCATGTGTTTTGTTTTTTTTAGATGTCCCAAGGATTTTTTTCTTTTTCTTTAAAGCCCAGTAATTTTATTATAGTTTTCTTTGATATTGCTCATTCTGGGTTCATGTTCTTAGGTCAGTGCTATGATCATTTAATATATAGTTTCAAATCATTTAATTTCAGGAAATTAGGGAAGTTTCTTGAATTACAGGTTTTAGTAACCGTCCCATTCCCGCTTTGGTTTTCCTCTTCAGAGACTCCTATTCTCCACTATCAATCTACTGTCCTGTCTTCAATGTTTGACACTTTCTCTTGAATCTGTTTGTATCTCTTTCTTTCTTTTGTAATTTAACATTTTTCCTTTGTACACATTCTATTTCTATTAGGGCAGCATTGTGTGTTGTGTTTACTTGCTACTAAGTTCCTTCTAGTTTAGTATTCATTGCTAAAGGATTCTTTAAATCTATTTTTACTTTTTTTCTGAGTTTTTCCAATTCAATTTTGTTCTTTCATGTCTTGTATGATATTTTTAATGTTTTCTAAGCTTGTTTTGAAATAGTAGGTTACATTGTTTTCTTGAAGTCATAACAGTTTATAAGATTGTGAGATTTCAGGTATACATTTTTATTTGTCCGTGACCATATATATATATGTGCCCTTTTACCTCTTATGCCCGCCCCCCAACCCGCTTCTCCTCTGGTAACCACTAATCTGTTCTCTTTGTCCATATGTTTATCCTCTGCATATGAGTGAAATCAAGTGGTGTTTGTCTTTCTCTGTCTGGCCTTTTCTGCTTAACATAATACTCTCAAGCTCCATCCATGTTGTTGCAAATGGGATGATTTTGTCTTTTTTATGGCTGAGTAGTATTCCATTGTATATATGTCCCACATCTTCTTTATCCATTCATCCGTTGATGGGCACTTGAGTTGCTTCTATGTCTTGGCTACTGTAAATGATGCTTCAATGAACATAGGGGTGCATAAGTCTCTTTGAATTGTTGATTTCAGGTTCTTTGGATAAATACTCAGTAGGGGGATAGCTGGATTGTACAGTATTTCTATTTTTAATATTTTGGGAAATCTCCATACTGTTTTCCATAGTGGCTGCACCAGTTTGCATTCCCACCAGTAGTGCATGAGGGTGCCCTTTTATCCATATCCTCTCCAACATTTGATGTTTTTTGTCTTGGTAATTATAGTCATTCTAATGGATGTAAGGTGATATCTCATCGTAGTTTTGATTTGCATTTCCCTAATGATTAGTGATGATGAACATCTTTTCATGTGCCTACTGGCCGTCTGTATATCTTCTTTGGAAAAATGTCTGTTCATATCCTCTGCCCATTTTTTAATCGGATTGTTTGCTTTTTGTTGTTGAATTGATGAGGTCTTTATATATTTTGGAGATTAACCCCTTGTCGGATATATGATTTGCAAATATTTTGTCCCAGTTGGTGGGTTGTCTTTTTGTTTTGTTCTTGGTTTCCTTTGTCTTGCAGAAGCTCTTTAGTCTGATGTAGTTTCATGTGTTTATTTTTTCTTTTGTTTCCCATGCCTGAGTAGACATGGTATTCGAAAAGATCCTTCTAAGACCGATGTCAAAGAGTGTACCATCTATATTTTCTTCTAGGAATTTTATGGTTTCACATCTTACCTTCAACTCTTTTAATCCATTTTGAGTTAATTTTTGTGTATGGTGAAAGATAATGGTCGACTTTCATTCTTTTGCAGGTGGCTGTCCAGTTCTCCCAACACCACTTACTGAAGAGACTTTCCTTCCTCCATTGTATGTTCTTGGCTCCTCTGTCGAAGATCA